GACAGACAGACAGACAGACAGACAGACAGACAGACAGACAGACAGACGGCTCTGAGCAACGCGGGTCATGGCACGCGGGGATGCTGGTTGACCACCGACAATCATCGAACATGAACAGAACAGTCAGGAATAGACTAAGACTAAGTAAGACACACTATAGACTATATAGTCACTACATAGTCAACCTGGCTTGGTCAACCGGGCTCCGGGGCAGACTGTGCTGTCACTGACAGCTTTTCTGATCACAAGTCGACGGCCACTCGGTGTGGTCGAACAGACTGCTTGTTTGGTGGAAGACCGGACATCTGAACATCCATGGAACTGGTTCGTTCAGATCTTGTAAGGGTCCATCTCGGCTTTGCGATCGTAGCCGGTGGTAGCCGGTGGTAGCCGTTCACTCATGTGGTCACTCCAGTCAAAAAAATCAGTTTCTTTTTAGATGATTTTTTTCTACCTTCACTTGGGATAACTTGGGCAACTTTTCTGTCAACGTGATTCTACTTCGTCCAGTCCCAATCTCGATGAATCGAACTCTGGACCGAGACTCGAAGCTTCGAAGCGGGTCACCCGAGCCCGGCAGGAGTTCTTCAACGGAAAGGAACCCAACAAGTCGATTGGGATTGGAATTTCTCGAAAGGAATGGGTGGATGGCGGGGTTCATGACCGGATTAGGAAGGATTCGAAGGGGTGAACAATGACGTGGAGGTGAACTGCCATTCAAAAAAACAGTCGAACATGCGGAGGACATGTCACTCAAGAACTCGTTTTTTTTTGGTGGGTCACAAGTCCACTTGCAGGTTTTCGTAGATTCCATTGACTGAGTGCTGAGCCCATTCGTATCTACTGTATCTAAGAAGTCATGGACACCACGGTGTTCCTCTACAAACCATGGATTGTCCACTTCCATGTTTGCTGGAAGGATGCTATGAATCAACTTCCAGGCTTGGACCTTGCTATGAGTGCACTTCTCCCAAACGCCATGCGCCATGGGACTCCACTCCCAATGCACACCGCTGGATGGAACCATCCGTCCTCGTCCATCCCACCGGCCTTGCCACGTGAGGTCCATCAACCCCGACGAGGCCGTGGCCTATGGCGCTGCAGTGCAGGCGGCCATCCTTACTGGCGAGGGCTCATCTCAGGTCCAGGTGCTGTTCGCAGACGTCCGTCCGCCTCGGGTCCGGGGCTCGGGACGGGTCGCCGACCAGTCCCGGGCGGCGCAGTGGGGAAACTGGTGAAGCTGGTGGGTGTTCGAGTTGGTGAAGCAGCGGAGGGGACGTGTTGTTGGGGGTCAACCTATAGGAAAGGGTGAGCGAGTGGAAAGCTCAGCATAGCGAAGCTCAGGAGTTGGAGAGTTCGTGGAAGAAACATTAGTGGCAAGATAAAGAAACATCATCATGATATTTTGGGGGTAATACCTTTGGATATTTTATTTTGCAGGGCGGCAATGATTTACAAATTAACTACATATGATGACATGAGGTCATTGAAATCTTCTGAGCTTTCTGAGACATTGAGAATAACCTTCATTTGAGGTTTTCTCTGATGTTGACACAGCCACTGCACTTGGTGAAACCACGCATCCACCTAGCGACCAACACAAGGGGAACACATTCTTCAATCCACTTCGACCGCCGCCATCCGCCGCCCCATCGGTGGATGGGTCAGGACCTGCTGTTGCTGGACGTGACACCCCTGTCCATGGGCTTGGAAACGGCAGGTGGGAGCAGCGTATCCGCTGGGGGCAAGGACCGAGACGGAGATGAAGAGACAGTGTCGTTGAGGTGATGAGAGATCTACTTTTTGGCATTCAGTCACAAGCACTGGAAAGCCCTGCTAGATGAACCATTACTGGTGACATGTCATTTTTGATTAATTAGATTTAAACCGTTCATGTTGCACAGGACAGGAATGAAAGCATGCAAAGTGCAACCATAGCTTCCAGACAATTGATCTTTGTTGGTGCTTGAGCATTTTGCTCTTGGCTGGCCGCCTGGATGCTCTTGGACAGAACGCAAAAGCATCCTATGGTACTTGTGCCCCACAAATCAATGCTTTCGGAATCTTTCGGATGACCTTTGATGGTGGGCTCCCACATCCATACCAGACCATCCACGTATGGCATATCTACCTACATTGGGGTGGTTGAAAAGGGGTTGTATGTTGTATGTATAAATATATGCCAGTCCCATTCGTATGGTCTGGGATACCTGGCGCGTTCCCACATGGCGTTCCAGCCTGCGCTGAGTTTCAGGTGGCGTGATGACCAAGCTGATCGAGCGAAACACCACCATCCCCACGAAGAAGGCGAAACCAGGGGCCCGCGACGTGTTACAGCTCATGCATGTTTTGGTTTTGGGTGGGAATTTGGGGGCCACGGGCTTGGTCTGAAAGAGGGGCCATGCACATGAAGCAGTCGCCGCAAGCAAATCAGTGGAAAGAGGTAGAGGGAACTTGATAGGGAGCAGATTCGATTGGAAGGAGGTGGAAAGTCACCTCCACACCCAGATAAAAGGCCAATGTCCCAAGGGCGTGTCCGGGGTGATTCTCTTCACTTCGAACGTCGACCCATAAGAACAAAGCAAGAAGTGCTGTTTGCGTAGGTTTTGGAGAACTTTTCAGCGACCTTTGGTGTGAACACGCTTATTATGGCTTCAAACACCAAGAAAGGCGACTTAATTGAAGTTGTTTGAAAGACGTGAGGGATGAGATGAGAGTGGCTTCTCCTACGTAGCGAATCAGATTTCCAACCCCGGTTGAATTGGATCCTATGTAGAGGGTTCATTGCTGTCTCCTTGGAATGCTTTAGGCTTTTTTGTGTATTTATAGTGTTATTTTTGTTCTTTTGTATCCTGTTGTCTACTTTTCGTGTTCTTCAATAGAAACCATTGCCTAATAATTCACTGTATATTAGTATCATATATTGTATACTCGTACTAACTAATTACTAAGTGTGTGGTGTTATTCTTTTTGTTTCTTACACTCCTCCTAAAAAAATAACTCCGCGCGCGCGCCCAATCACCGCGCCCCGCATTCGCCGGCCGCGCTGCGCTCACAGCGCGGTCGGTCGTCGTTCTCGCTTTTGGCGCAGGCCCAGACGTTCACCACGTACGCAGACAACCAGCCGGGAGTCTTGATCCAGGTCTTCGAGGGCGAGCGCGCCATGACCAAGGACAACAACTTGTTGGGCAAGTTCCACCTGGAGACCTCGGCGGTCAACCATTCGGGCGGGAGAACGCGGAGTGGAGGGAGAACGAGGGAACGAGGCAAGTGGCGGGAGGTGGTGGGGATTTTCACGAAAGCTAGCATGCTAGCTGAGTTCTTCTTTGCTTTAGCAATGTTGTGGTGGGAGGGGCTGCGTGCCTTAAAGATTGATATATCAAGCTAACCCCCCCCCCCGTGGTTCGACTCCCAGCTGCGCCGTGTAGGGGGTTGGTTGAACGTGGTTGGTTGGGTGTAAACGGTGGCTTGGTGTAAAGGGTGCTGCTGCTGCTGCCGCTCTGCTGCTTGCTGCTGCTGTTTGCTGCTGCCGCTGGTTGCTGCTTTTGTAGCTGCTGCTTTGCTACTTGTTGCGGCTGACGACGCCGCTGCTACTGCTGCTTGCTGCTTGCTGCTGCTGCTTGCTGCTTGCTGCCGGTGGTGCTTGCTGCCGGTGGTGCTGCTGCTGCGGCTTGATGCTGCGCTGCTGCTGCGTGGTGCTGCTGGCTGGCTGCTGGTTGGTGGTTGCTGCTGGCTGCTGGCTGCAGGCGGCTGCTGCTGCTGCTGCTGCTGCTGCTGGCTGCTGCTTGCTGCATAGGACTTGTACTTCACCGTTACAAGTTGTTTACCCCTATTTCTAACCTAATGCATGCATAAGCGGGTGGTAAATTTACCCCCCAGGCTTGCTATAACCATACACCGGCTATTTCCTCAAGACACTCTATTCTTGATACCTTTTACCAGTGCTTATCCTACACTACGGACGCCCTAGTGTATGCACAGTCCTTGTGATGCTTACCCCTCGTTCCGGCTCAAGGCATACATAAGCGGGGGGTAAATTTACCCCCCAGATTTGCCATAACCATAAGCCGGCTTTTTCCTCAAGACACTCTACTCCTTATACCTTTTACCAGTGCTTATCCTACACTACGGACGCCCTAGTGTATGCACAGTCCTTGTGATGCCAGAAATGCCTACCCCTCTTTCCAGCACAAGGCATACATAAGCGGGGGGTAAATTTACCCCCCAGATTTGCAATAACCATACACCGGCTTTTTCCTCAAGACACTCTATTCCATATACCTTTTACCCGTGCTTCTCCTACACTACGGACGCCCTAGTGTATGTACAGTCCGTATGATGTCAGAAATGCTTACCCCTCTTTCCGACTCAAGGCATACAAAAGCGGAAGGTAAATTTACCCCCCGGATTTGCCGATCACGCATCTTCGTGCCTGCCAACGAGTGCACCCGGGTTGTTCCAATGTACCCTTCCCAGTCAGCGATGTCACATTTACGTTCTTTAGCGCAAAGTATGTACATAGCAACCTTCCTCCCAAAACATGTAATCCCTACATGCTTTGCCGACTATGTAACTAGTACATCCGGTGCGATTCGGCTAGCTTTCGACCTCTCCCCCTGGCCTCAAGTTTCATGAGTGAGCTGGAACATGCTGCTATTCCCAAAGAATACCGAAAGAGAAAAGCTTGTTTCAGGGCACGTTGTTGGTATATCTTAGTGCATGGTGTGAAGTTCGGTGGTGGCGTTGGATTCCTTCCGAACAATGCGGGCTTTCAAGCGACGCTGAGATAACGTCCGTCCATTGATGAGTTTGTCTGGCCAATGATCCTCCAGGTGTGTGATCTGTGAAGATGCTCTTGCATGTTTTTATCGACACATATGATCACAGCACATATGTGTATTTTTAGAAAAGGCCCCTGTAGAGAGGTGGTGAGCTCCACTTTCATTTCTTTTTCAAGGAGGTGTACCATAGTAGGATATGGTTGGAACCGGCCGACAGCTGACGGGCGACGGACCTACCTGGACCATTGAAACGATTTTTACGGCCTTCGTGGTCCATGATCCTCTTCAATGCACCAAGAGCTGCCACTGGTTTTTGGTGAAGCATGCTTGGCTGAGGATGGCATTCCTCCAGCCCCACGCGGTGTGCCACAGATCGAGGTCACCTTTGATATCGATGCCAATGGCATTTTGAATGTCAGAGCCTCCGAACTTGGGCGAAAAAACATCGATTTGGGCTGCAAAACGGCTCCATATTCAAAACATCCCGGTGTTTCCAGCAAGAGTTGAGAAGGGTGAGTGTGTTTCCCACCGAACTGCTCTGCACTCATGCTGCTCATTTTGGAATAACATCTATAATCATGATATAATCTATTCGATCCGTGATATTTGTAGATTAGAACGAGGATTTCCCTGAATTTCCAGGTGTCTGCAGGAATTCGTCCCACATCAACCGTAGGACGGCCAGCTGTGCCGGACCCGGTCGAAGGTGGTTCGATGTATGTGGGCAGAGTATGTGGGCGGAGTCTGAAACAATGTGACACTGTCAGGGACACGCCCCATCAGAAATCATGAACGTATTCCCCAAGCAGCGTGGACACACTAGGGGTTCTTGCGGTATTGGTTAAGCACCGGTGTCTAATCGAGGTGCCGGATATATGTGTTTTGCATGTTTCATCCAAGATATACTGCAACACTGTGACATTTCCACGGCCGAACATGCGCTGCACGGCCGAGGACAAGTCCACTGGAAAGTCCAACCAGATCCTTGGAATAGTTCCCTCACACTCCATGAAGCTCAAGACTCAAACAACTGGCAGACATCTTTATGGTCACCTACAAAGAAACATCAAAACACACCATCAATAAAATTGCATCGCAGCAACTGGCGCTTGGTGCGAGGTGATTGTTTTGAGTCATCAGGTCTGGCTTTTTCTCCGCTGGAGTCGAAGAAAGCACCCGTTTCACACAGCCGAGTGCGCCGCGAAGCTTCGCCGCCCCCGAGGATCACCATCACCAACGAGAAGGGTCGCCTGTCTCAGTCGGAGATCGACCGGATGGTGCAGGAGGCTGAGAAGTTCCGTGCGGAGGAGGAGCAGAACAAGCAGAAGCTGGGCATGAGCTGGGCAACAAGCAGAAGTCGGGTTCACAAAACACCTGTTTCAGTGTGGAACTTTCAAAGACACGGACAGGTAATGTATAATAAATCTGTTGTTTTTGTTGTATTGATAAGATCTTGCCTTGGATGAGCTTTGGAGAGATTTGGCCATATACTGTATCCGCTCGCTTCCTGGTGATTCCTGATCACATGACTTGCAGATGGTCCGACTGAGTGACTGTCTCGGACCTCACCACGTCGCCTAACATCGCCGGACCGCCACCGGCGGCGGGCGGTGCTCGTGCTCGTTTCTTTTGTTAGGAAGATTGAGGCCAAGAATGGCTTGGAGAACTACTGTTTCACCATGAGGAACACACTCAATGAGGAGAAACTCAAGGACGCATCTCTGGGAGAGGAGTTGGTGGACGCCACAGCCCATTGGGGGATCGTTCTTCGTTTGCTTGTTTGTTCTTTTTTTGGGGGGGGGGTACCCCTGAATTGTTGACCACAAAGTTCCACCCATGAAAAACAAATGAACTACTTGACTTGGTGTTGTTCTGTCACGTACTTTTACTTGTACTCCTATACACAGGACAAAAACGTATTAAACCTGAGCGATCTTCCTGGGGCTGTGTCCGAGTGTTTCATTCTGATGCCCTCATGGCATCACTAGGACGCGCTTGCAGATGCTACAACTGAACTGGGCACACGTGCGTGACATCACTTTCTCATCACCCTACAACCATGATTCGGTCATGACTACCTGCATGATCACCAAAACTGAACTTTTGCAGGAGAACTGAGACACCCAACCGTTGCAGGGAAAGTGAAGGAGTCAGATTCTGGGATGGACAAATGGATGGACACACAGTGGAAAATCCATTGCTTGGAGCTTTTATGAGCCGTGGGCGTACGCGTACGTGTACACCGCACGTGGCGTACCCGATGTGTCTCCCGTATCCCGGAGAGAGCCTTTATCCAGGAGAAGTTCGAGTCCGGAGACAAGGAGAAGATCGAAGCGGCTGTTCAAGAGACCTTGGACTGGTTGGACAAGAACCAGCTGGCCGAGAAGGATGAGTTTGAGGCGCCGCGCGACGCGGCCAGGTCGTCGCGACGTCCGGGTCGTTGCGGTGTCTTCCCGCCGAAGAATTCAGCAAACATCGTTGATTTGATGAGGCAGCCGTGTTTGGCCGGCAACGTCCAAAAACCAGGGTCTTGCTGGACACATATGGCCAGTATATGTATATAGTATATTGATTATATATATATATATTTGTATTATACATATTTGTGCCTTGATTGTTTAGGCTCACGCTCCCCTGCATTGCATGGTCAACGAGGAGTTCACCTGGCTGTGATCAAGCCATCTTGGGTCGGTGTTTCAGCCCAACAAAAACCTAATGAAATATCGATCTGTAAAGGTGATTTGTGTTTTCTTTCTATGAGATATTGGAGGAATCAAGCATCAACTATAGCTGATATACTGACTGTCAAAGTGTGTTATTAAAATGTTATTTGCCATGTCTTTCTGTAAGATAGCTGACACAATGATGTCAATCATAACAAACATACACATGAGTGTGAGTAACTGTGTGATTTGCAATTTGTTTGAGATCACGATCCATTCCATTCCCAGGCCAAGCAAAAGGAGCTCGAGGGCGTCGTAAACCCTATCATGATGAAGGTCTACCAAGCTGCAGGGGGCGGCGGCATGCCTGAAGGTGGCATGCCAGGTGGGTGAAAGCGTGCAGACTTCATTGATCAAGACGATGAAAAGAGTGGCTGTAAGAGAGACGGAGAGGCTACTAATATTTGTTTGTTCTATGTCAATGTTGATCTATGTTGTTTTATTGGTCAATTAGGCATTTACTGGTTCAACCACGTGCATGGCAATGTGATGATACATGTCCGTATTGTTTCCGGTTTTCAAAGTTTGCCAACCTGTGAAGCAGGGTCACTTTTGTTTTTTATATACAAAATGCTAAAACGTGAGACAAAAGCATTCACCTACTCAATTCACTTTTGTTTCACAAGCTGTGTTTCTTTTTGTTGACCCCTCTGGTATTCTTCGCAGGTGGTGACATGGGTGGCGCTCCACCAGGCGGCAACAGCGGCCCCACGGTCGAGGAGGTGGACTAAGTCAGCTGAGTCCAAGTCCGAGCGAAGAAATCGCTCGCAATTCGCCGGGCCCATCGCCGGGCCCACAGAAACCCGAAGATTTGCTGAGAAAATGATCGGGGCGATGAGAAAGATTGGAGGGTTGTTCGGAAAAGAGGGAGACCCCCAATTTGACGGGTTTGGGATTTGGTTGTCCTGCTAAAATAGGGGGGTCTCCCAATCTGTACTGCACGCCCATATGCGGTTTTGGACCACTAAGGCTCTTTTGGGGTCTGACTGGACCATGAAATCTGGGGAGAGGACTTAGACCCACAAAAGGTTCGCCAGAGATGTCACTTGAGGTGTGCTATGGCCCGGGAGCGTGATTCGTACCTTGTTCTTCTTGGCCACTGCGTTGCTGCTCTTTGGCTTGCGTGTGGCAGCAGCTGCCACATGGGCAGCATACCAGGTGCGGGGTCGAGTGTAGGACGACTGGTGTTTGTTCTTTGAGTGATGTGTGCGCAATTTGGCTGGGTATATGTGACACAACAGTCAAAGAGGGAGAGAATCTTTGATGCTTCTGCACTTCCTCCATATTCATGGCCATTCGGCCTTTTGTGTTTAGAGTAGGTCGGCAGCTGCCCGTTGGAAGACAACATGGGTGATGGGCTGCCGTCGGATGTCAGCTGCCCTCAGATCGAAGTGGTCGAAGGAGAATCGCTGAGTCCGGATTCAAGGTCGAATCACATTCCCTAGGGATCCAAGTACGTCCTCAGAAGGTACGACTGGACCCTCGAAACCTACATAACAGTGTCTCCAATCACCTCCTGAGATGGTACGACTGGATCCCTAGGGATTCCTGGCAGATGCTGGCAGATTTGAACACGACCGACGGACGGTCCTACCAAAAACCATCAAAAACCCCAGGCCCTCACGCGTCGCGTCTTGGGCTGGTGGCTGGTGGCTTGGGGGAGTGACCTCTAGAGGATAACAAGCCACAGAATTATACTTATCCTTGTACTTGGGAAGTGATCAGGATGAATTCGTGAGTCTTTCTGTGGGACTGCCGGATTCATCCTGATCTGCCTCCATCTGGGACTGCTCCACCGGTTCGCTCCTCGGCGCAGGCGGAGGCGCCGCTGCCGGGGAAGAAGAAGAAAGTGGATCTCACGGGGCCCAGCTGGGAGGAGTCGCTAGGATGGTGTGGATGACCTGGATGGCTTGGCGGATCAGGTGCCTTTTTCATCCTTTTCCCTGGTCCAAATCATGTGACATCCCCAAACCTGTGGAATCGCGTTTTTTGGTCCTGGACAGCAAAAGATGAAGAGGAGGAGGGTGCTGAGCGGTGCTGGTGACGTTTTTTGTTGACGTCACGAGACGGGACGAGTGGATGGACCAGGGGCCAACGACGGATGGACCAGGGGACCGAGGGGGGAAGGCCATGGTTTTTGAAGGCCGAAGGGACACCCCTATGATAGGGTGAAACATGGGCCATCTACCTGGAACTTCCACAGTACCGGACATGGACCCTATAGCGACAGGAGCTTTTAGCCATTGTCCAAGGTTCTTTGATCTTCCAGGTACTGGCCATCCAAAGGGTTACGTACTCAACTGGGCCGAATTGGAATTTCGATGAATTTCTTGTGGACTGCACCAGGAAGGAACTGTTTGTCCGAGAGAAAGAGGGGGAGAGAGAGAGAGAGAGAGCGACAGCGACCATAACCCCACACAATCCATTAATATGTACCTAAGTTTACCTACATTGATACCTACTGTACTTTTTTTAACAAAAATATGTTGAACGATCTTTCAATGGTCAGATCAACACCGTCAACACCTCAATTTTCCATGGATGATATGGATGGTTTGGGTAACCGGTAACAATTCTTGGATTGAAGCAGTGAACCCAAATGTGATGAACGTTTGGATCCACAAGGAACACCCTATCATCCTAAGCCGCTTGTCAAGCCATAACTCAGGACCTCCCAAATTACAGACCTTCTATGGGGGGTTTTATCTGTATAATCACGGATCGACATTGGGGGTGGTTCCTTTTGTCCAATCTGAAGGCAGCATTCTTCTCAATTGACTACCCGGGCACGTTCCAAGGGGTGTCCAATGAGATCAAGGGGTGCGCATTGCACCATAGGATCATCATGTCACATGTCCAACCAGAAAGAAGGAAGAGGTGGACATTCGGTACGAATGGGGAGACCAAGTTTAGCTGCTGTCACCGGGTATCCTTCCGTTGCTTTTTTTCTCCGGTCCGCAAGCCGAGGTACTTGGATCAACTGTCAGCGCGTTTGATTTTAGCCTCCTCTTTGGTGGGATGGCAGCATTTCATCACGGAGGGAAGGGTTCCGAAGTATTTCGGGAGTTTGCTTGAGAGGTCTTGGACTGGAGATGTCTTGGTTGGTGATGATGAGTCAATGAGTTGATTGTTCAATAAAGCGTTTTGGTTTGCAAGATTGATAATTTTAAAATATTGTTTTGTGATTTGTACAGCGATTGATTTATCATTAATTAATTGTGAATTATGGATGAACAAGGATAAGATGTACCTTGTCTACTTTGAAGATCTTTGAAGTTTATGTAGTGCATTTAGGGCCTTCATCCAAAAGCTCTCGTGAGTTGTTGCCTGTGCTCTAGGGAGTAGGGCTTGTTTGCATGGTGGCGCAGGTGTCTCATGACCAATGACCACATTTAGATAGGCCACAGGACATTAAAGCACAGGCAGATTGGGGCCTTTCAGCACCGATGTGACTGAGTCAGGCCTTGATTTGGGACTTTCAGGCTCACTTTTGCATCAGCGTGAACATCACTGATCGAGGGAGCTACCAGGCTACCAACCACTCCACATTGCACACAAGGAGTAGTTTGCTACATTGACCCCTGAAACCACCCCAATGTTTGCAAGTATTCCATGAAATGTCGAGCTGGGGATTGCTTGTGAAGTATTCGTGGATGATGTTGCATTGTGTTTTCGGGCCAGTGGCGGCCAGCGGTTGATTTGGTGAACTTGAAATTGCTACCACACCGCATCAGGGAAAGGGAAGCACGAGCTCAGATTCTGCGTTTAAGCTAGAGTGTCACCAGTAGGGCGACAGTGAACCTTCGTGTTTGGATTGCCACTTGCTGATTTTTGCTTTACTGGCAGTATTGCAGGAATAAGGCGGACCAAACTAATGGGGAGGTGGCCTATATTTCATGGCTTGACGTTATTGTGGACTCTTGATGATACAATGTAGACTCTCATGACTCACGACAATTAAGGCCTACTTTTGGCTTCTCTATGGCATCGCTGCCGCGTTTCCCCTTAGATCTCTTCACAGTCCCTTCAAGCGACTGAGACGGCGTTGAGCGTGCTTTGATCCGAGAGGGAGGGGACGTAGGAATAGAAATTGGAGGAATTACAGTACCCTAGGGATCCAATCACCTTCTCAGAAGGTACTTGGACCCTCCAAACCTACATAA